GAGAAAATGACGTCAGGATGAGAATCGCAGAGAAGGGAGGAGGGGCGATTTATCGGTCGAGAGCGAGAATCGCGAGAATGGGATGATGATAGTCAAAGGGGTGGAGAGGGAGAAATTTTTAAAGTCGACTCTTTTTCCGTTCGCCGCGTTTGGGGGAAGCGAAAACGCGCGAAATTCCGAGAAAATCTCGGCCTCCGTCCTGCATTCCGCATTTCGATCCGCCGGGTGCATCCTCGCGACGCGATGCGATGCGATGCGATGCGTTCGATTATCGAGACCGACGATGCGGAAGGGCGGTCTCTCGACGGTGGACGGCCGATGGAGGTTGGTCGCGCGAGATCACATTGGTGATTCGTTTCACCCGGGGAACTGTCAGAACTTCGACTTCCTTTTAGGCTCATCCTGATTTCAAGTGTCATCGACTTTTTTCCCTTCGCGACGGATTTATTACATCTTGAATTCCGTCTTGAATCAGATCGCATTTCTTTCCTTCCTTTCCTACCTGTTACACGCCATTCTTTATGTTATCTTTTTCGCTCTCGTGTCTTATCGACACCTATTTATCCTCCATTTTGCTCGCGCGCTCTTTCTCGGATATTTCGAGATCTGTAATATCTCGACGACAAGATCGCTTCGTCCGTCGCGAGGATAGAGAGAATTGCATGTTCAGAGAGGGAGACGATAAGAATTAATTGCGCCGGCGGAAATTCATTCTAAACAAACGCGAGGAAAGTCAGAGTTCGGCTGATTTATGGAAGAATAGACGAAAAAATAAAATCCCACGAATGTCTTTATCGGAAGAGAAAAATACGAAGGAGGCTTCTTTAGGAAATAAAAGTGCGCGAAGTTAAAGCTATCCCGAACGAACGGGGTAGAAACATACGACCGGCGAGTCGACAAAAAAAACGACGGGGCGCAGGATATAGCAGTAACGGAAGAAAGGTGAAGTGTATAGTAACCAAAGGAAAGTGGAGTTTCGAGGAGACGGGTTGGTTGTGTAACGAGAGATTCGGTGTAGCCCTTTCCCGAAAAAAGAAAAGAAAACAGGAGAGACCATCAGCACGGGTGCACACGTACACACGTGCACATGCAACCATCATCCTCGACGCAAAGTAAAAGCGTGGAGCAAAAAAAGAGGGGATGTCCTCGATCACGTAAAATAAAACGGAGGACAAGAGGAAGGTGTCGTCGATCATGTAAAGTAAGAAGCGCGACAAGAGAGGGGAAGTTCTCGATCATGGTAAAACGCCGAAGGGATGGAGGACGAGGGATGAGGAGGGGGAATGAAGAGACGAGAAGTGGAATCTAGGAAATCCCACGATACGCACAAATTCGCCCACCGCCTAAAGAAACCGTTAATTGTTCGTCGTTGTTTTTCGTTGTTGGGAGGGGGGGGGGGCAAAGCGAAGTCGCGCGAGGTTGGACAGAGAAAAAAAATATAGAAATATAGGAAAAAAAAAAAAATAGGAAGAAAATCCCACGAAAGCCTCCCGAGAAATACACCTGTACATACGTATATATTCTGCCATCATGGAAGAAAACGGACGGTTCGATTTTGCGGATCGTTGTCCCCGATCTTAGAATCACACGTGCGCATCCACATCACACAGAATAAAAATAGACTGTACACGCAACTCGTTCGCGTGATGCGATCGCATTTACGCGAGAAACGTCTTGTGCGTCACAGCTGTTCCGATATCGGAGATATAACAGGTGATTCGATTCGAGGAATAACACCGCGGCATCGACACCTCTTTCTGGTTCGACGAGAGGGTGGTAACTCTCGATTTCACCCCTCCCTCTCTCTCTCTCTCTCTCTTTCTCTCTCTCTCTCTCCTTTTTCTCTCTGTATGGGTTTCTCGTCGCGTTTCTTATCTCACTCTCGATCGTAAATTCTACGGGAAATAATTGCGAAAAGTTTCTCGATCTCGATCGTTTATTTTAATCTTACGCAGGAGAAAGACACGCCTCGGACTTTTTAATTTAATACATATTTAGAAAGAGACATGTACATTAGCTGTATACACATTATCCACGTAATTACGTGCCAGTCTTGTTGACATCTCATTTAAAGAGAACATAAAACCGAAGAGCTCGCTATAATCAATGTTTAATACTCTCTGAATTGAATAATTAAATGTTAGAGTACAACATTTAATCAGACTCGAGAGAAACGAACAAAACGAGCGGTCCGCGATCTCGCGTTAATAATTAATACCGGGTAAATTGTCTGACAGGCAAATAGGGCCTAATTACGCCGAAAGGGCCGAAGCTCCGAAGAGCATAATTTTGCAATCAACTTCGATCCGCGCAAAGGGACTTGGGGGAGGGGGGGAGGGGGACAAAGGGGATAGTCGAAAAGTCGAGTCGCGCCTTCGTGCTGAGTCAGAGTGTGAGCTTTGATTAATCGTCGCCGAATCCGATTATAATCTGTTACGCCATGTGTCGGAAAAACATCCATCGTCAGAATCCAAAACAATTCGTCTGCGCGATTCGTATACGCAAATTTTATTCTAATTCAACAAATCTATGAAACGAAAGATAGACGAGTCGAGCCAAGAGCGAAAGTCAGATCTATATTTCTACATTTATCAATTATCTAATTTACTACTTACTGAAAATTTATCTTTTTGCTTTCTAAAATTATTTTTGTCTTCAAGTTTCGAAATTTTTTTTGTCTCTCATATGTAAAGAAAATTATTATAATTTCCATATTTTTTCAGTAAATTTTTTTTAGTAAGTAGTTTTAATATAAAAAAATTATATAAATTTATTATATATGATACAATTTCATCTCTCGTGTGTACAGAAAATTTTTACTAAAATTATTATTATAATTTCTGCATTTTTTTAGTAGGGTAGTTTTAATATAAAAAATTATATAAATTTATTATATATGATATAACTCTACCATGCAAGTTTCATTTGGTTACCGAGTTTTCCCCGAAATCCGTAGCTAAACGCAATTTTGTTTTTCCGAATCTTTCTATTATCTCGAAAAAGCCGAGCGGCAAATTGCTATTCTCGAGAACGCAGCTATGTCGTGTTAGTATCTGTGTTTTATGTACGCATCTATATTCATGTGGACATAAGTGCATCATATGGGCGCGGAGAAAATGCCGGGCGTAGGAGAAACCGTTTCGGGGTGAGTTACGATCGTCCATCCCGATCGACCGTTTTGCTATTTACCCGATCTAGAGGGAACGCTAAAATGTTCTCGCTGGAATCTACTCTGGAAAATTTTGAATAGATAATGGATACTGCACGAGAAAATACGCGGCGGATATAATTGGAGAATAAACGTGTGCCGCGCGTGCGGTACGAGAAAAATGTTACGACGTTAAATTGAAAAACATAATGGTATATCCATCGAAATTCGCTTTTCGAATAATAAGAAAGAGCAGGTTGTTTCATAAAGACGTGCGTTACGGTAGAAATTAAAAAAGGTAAAACGCTATTTCCGTCCGGAGGATTAATTGCGATGGAAATTCCGGCATTTTATCGCGGAAAAGAAATTCCTCCGTAGTGAAGAAATGCATTTTGTCCAATCGATTACAATGTCTGAGATCTGCGCGATAAGAACCGGAAAGGAAAATGGGGGGGGGAGGGGGAAAGTACATACGAAGGTAAATAACAGACGGCGGAAGGGCAGAGTCATCGCTGCAGAAATACAGAGAGAAAGAGAGATAGAAACAGAGAGAGAGAGACAGAGATATAGATAGAGAAGAAGACGAAGAAGAGGAAGGAGAGGGCGGTCGTCGTCATCATCGTAATTGCAGGAAATCGTGCTGGGGAACAGGGTGTGCCCGTTGCACGTCAAATAAGGAGGGGAAAAATGAGAAAGAAAGAGGCGTCTGGTTTAACGCGTGTGTTAACTGTGTTGTTAAACATTGTCCAATACATGATTGTTACTAATTTACATTTATAAGATAGAAATATGGAAAATAAAGGGAGATCTATTTATAAAGCATTCCCGTGGAAAAAAAAGAGATGAAAAAGATATATAAATTATATAATTACATAAGAAAAAAAATGTATATGTATAAGCGAAGTAGTAGAACGAAGTAAGAAGTCTTGGGGAGGAAGATAGATAGAAAGATAAAGGAAGACAGAGGAGGGAAGTTATCGATCACGAATGATCGAGGGTTTTCCTTACCCTCGAGAGTTTCCTCTACTTTCGATTTTCTTTTGCGCCTGATTGCATGTAAATGCGTATACATGTCCATAGGCACATGCATGATGGATGTACTCGGTCGTATGTGTACGCGCGCGC